AATGCACCGATGCCATTCAATATTCCTGATTGTTCAACAATATCTTTTACAATCATACTTTCCTTCTCAGTCCAAAATCCAACCAAGGTCATTTTTTGTATTTAGTTTCAAGTCTGTACATCCACCTTCAATGTGGCAAAATTCCTCAGTGTTTCCTTGTCTTTCCTTACTTGACACTTGAAGAGCATAGAGCTGGTACTTTGTTGAATGACCTTCAATTTGTGGTTGACTGATATTTCCTCTAGATTACTTTGAGGTCATACACTCTTGGCAGGAGTAACACAGACTTGATGCTGTGTTCTTCTCTGTGGATCATACTGGGGGATAGTATATCAGGTTGTCCCACTGTTAATGACCTTGACGTTATCACTTATAAAGTATTTTATATTTATTAATAACTAAAAAGTACTTGAGTGATTAGTTTTAAACTAATTAAAAATATTTATGCAAGTATTTTTTTCTCATCAAACTTTTACCCACTAGTCTTTAGCATATGTTGTTGCTTCTAATCTGAAGTACTTATTACTGTGATAGCTGATTTTCTCATCTCTTAATTTCTTCCATTTGTATGAAATGGTGTTCTATTGCAAGGTAGAGCATTTCTTTCTCCCAGGACTTGAAATGAGGCTCCAGTTAAGCCAAAAGTTTGTTATTTCAAGGTCAAAACTGTCTCTGGGTCTAATGGATATTCAACAATCTGTTGGTGAGGGTAACTAAGGTCTTTTTTTGTCCCTCACTGGAGGTACCATTTTCATTTTGCATTGAAACCTTCTGAGGCTTGGCCCACTCTATGGAAATTTAGGTCAGAGAAGATCCACTGAAGGATGAAATCAGCTCAGAGTCATCACTGTTCTTTCAGTGAGTTAATCTGTGTCGATTAGGACTCAGTAATAGGGCAGCAGTAGCCACTTTGTGAGGAAAAGTCTTGAAGTCCCAGTGGCGTTAGGTAAATGAGTTCTGGTAGGTTCTTATACCAAAGTTTTCAATTAGTTGTTAAGATTAGTCACAAAATGTCAATGATTCTGCAGAGTTTGGAGGAAATCAGGGAGTTTCAGGGAAAAGCCTAATTTACTGATACCTGGATTGCTACCCAGAGGCTTGGAACTATAGCAGATGTTTATTGCTAATATATAAAGAGAACCATCAGGTATTAAGTGTCTTTTTTGTGTGGGTAGTTGTTAGCTGCAGGGCCAGCAGTACATCCTTCATGGACCATGAAATGTTTTTTGGCCCAAGAGGGCCTCTAAGATGATCACTATAGTAGGGCCTTGGACTTTGTATTCCTTCAAGATCTATCTGTGCTTAGGTAGCATGCATATAAGAAGTTTTCTTGTAGGATATTGTATTTTAGAAGTTTTCTTTGTGGATGTCATATTAAGAAGTTTTTGTTGAATGTATTAACATGTGATATAGTTTATACTTAATTTTTCTTTTTTAGTGATAAACACTGAAATATTTATGGATGAAATTATATAATGTCTTGGATTTGCTTTAAAATAATATGGGGATGATTGAGGAAGATGAAGAATGGGATATGGCAGAAACCAGGTTGGGTACAGGATGATAATTATTTAAATTAATTACTGGAGTCATAATAGTATTACAAATATTAATGTAAGATAAAGAAATTTTCAAATAAGAGGAAACTGACAAAATTTGTTATCAGAAGACCTGCAATAAAGAAATGCTAAAGGAAGTTCTTCAGGCTAAGGAAATTGATACCAGATGGAAACTTGGATTTAAAAGCAGGAATGAAGAGCACAGGAAATGATAAATGTGGGAGAAAATATAAAATTTTAAAGTTATTTTAAAGATATATGACTAAAGCAAAACAATGTATTATGGGGTTTATAACATAAGTAGATGCAGTAGAGAGATGACAACAAATGCACAAAGGATAGTGAGAATTATATCATTACACTGGTCTTTAATTTTACATAAATATTAGCTCTATATAGACTATGAAAAGTTAAAGATGCATATCATACTTCCTAGAAACAACTTTAAAAAGTAGTGCCAAGATACCCTAAAAAAACAAATAAAGGAATTAAAATGGAATACAAAAATGATTATTAATTCAAATCAAGGCAAGAGAAGAGGAATAAAGTTTCATAAAACAGATGGGACAACCAAACAACAAATAACAAAATTGAGATTTGGGTTCAACTGTCACCAATCAATCCTAAAGGAAATCATCTCTGAATGTTCATAGGACATTCATAGAAGGACTGATGTTGAAGCTGAAGCTCCAAAACTTTGGCCACCTGATGTGAAGAGCTGACTCATTGGAAAAGACCATGATGTTGGGAAAGGTTGAAAGACAAAGGAGAAGGGGGGTGGCAGAGGATGATTGGATAGCATCACTGACTCAATGGACATGAATTTGAGCAAACTCCAGGAGATAGTGAAGGACGAGGAAGCCTAGTGTGCTGCAGTCCATGGGGTTTCAAAGAGTCAGACGTGACTTAGCAACTGAACAACACAGCAACAATAACAATAATTCCCTAGAGAAGGAAATGACAACCCACTACAATATTCTTGCCTGCGAAATCCCATGGACAGAGGAACCTGGTGGGCTACACTCCATGGAGTCACAAGAGTTGGACATGACTTAGCAACAGAGCATATAACAATAGTTAAATTAAATATAAGCAGACTAAACCATCAAATAAAGACAATGTTTATCAAGTGAGCAAAAAGATAACCTCACTGTATATTGACTACAACGGACACTTTTAAATATGACTTTTTTTTTTTTTGCCATGCGGCATGTGGGTGGGATCTTAGTTCCCCAACCAGGGATCAAACTCGTGCCCCTTGTAGTGGAAGCATGGAGCCCTAACCACTGGACCACCAGAGAATTCCCTACATTTTAAATATAAAGGCACTTACTGGTAAAGTATAAGAATGCTGCTGCTGCTACTAAGTCACTTCAGTCGTGTCCAACTCTGCGTGACCCCATAGACGGCAGCCCACCAGGCTCCTCCACCCCTGGGATTCTCCAGGCAAGAATACTGCAGTGGGCTGCCATTTCCTTCTCCAACACATGCATGCATGTTAAGTCACTTCAGTCATGTCCGACTCTTTGTGACCCTATAGACAGCAGCTCACCAGGCTTCTCCATCCACAGGATTCTCTAGGCAAGAATACTGGAGTGGGTTGCCATTTCCTTCTCCAAGTATAAGAATAGGAAAATATATCATACATTATGCAAATAGTAAGCATATGAAAGTAGGATGGCAACATTAATATCAGACAAAATGGACTTCAAGACAAGGAATGTTACCAGAGAGATAAAGATGGGCATTTTATAGTGAGAAAAGTAACAATTCATCAAGAAGTCACAACAATTATAAATGTTTATGTACCAAATAACAGAGTTTGAAATTACATGACACAAAAACTGACAGAATAGAACCAAAGAAAAGGAAATTAGTTTGAATATAGAAGACCTGAGCAATCTTCTCATTCTCCTAGAACTAACATTTATAGAAAACTAGACACAACAATTTCAAATATATGTTATTTTTATGAGAAAAGTAACATTTATCAAGATGCATTATTTCCTGATCCACAGACTAAGATTCAAACATTTCAAATTCTTGAAATCTTATTAAGTATATTCTTAAACAACAATGCAATAAATTTGGGGATTGATAAAAATAAGATATCTAGAAAATCCCCAAATATTTAGAGATTAACATCATTTATAAATAATCTATGATCAAATAAAAATCACAGGAGAAATTAGAAAATATTTCAAGTTGAATGACAATGAAAATACGACATGGCTAAAGTGGACTGCAGTACAACTTAGAGGGATAATATAATGTAAATATTTTTGTTAAAGAAAAAAACAATTTAAAATTAACAATCTAAATTTCCACCTTAAGAAAAGGCGGGGGTGGGGGGGTTGAATATAGCAAACTATACTCAAAGTAAGTAGAAAGAGAGAATTGATGAAAAATGGAAATCAATATAATAGAAACTGAACAAACAATAGAGATAAACTATGAAAACAAAAACTGGTTTGTTATAAATAGTAACAAAATTGATGAACTCCTAGGAAGAGTAATCAAGGAAAACAGAGAGAGAAAATGTGAATTAGTAATATCAGGAATATAAAATTGGATGTTGCTATAGATTCTATGAACATCTAAAAAATATAAAATTATCAACAATTTTTTACTAATAAGTTAAACAATTTAAATAGTTTTACAGATTCTACATACATGGTGCATGAATTGAAACAGTTTACTGCTCTCTTTTCAAACATATACCTTTTATTATTTTCTTCCCTTATTGAACTGGCTAGTATCTCTATCCCATGTTATAGTAGTGAGTGTAGACAATCTTGCTTTGTCAAGAGGAAGACATTTACTATTTCACAATGAAGTGTGATGGAGCTATAGGTTTTTATTCTAATTGCATTGGGAAATCATTGCAGACTTTTACTTGCATGAATGATATTATCTAATTTATATTTTTAAAAACCACTTGGGCTACTGTGTGGAAAATGGGCTCTAGGAAGACTGGAGTGGAAGCAGTGAGGCAATCAGGAGGTGACTGCACTTGCCCAGGAGAGAGGTGGTGGTGGCAGTGGGTGTTGAGAAAAGTGGCTGTGTTGGGGCATATATTTTGGGGGTATCTCTTTGTAGAGCTGACAGGACTTGTTGACTTATTGAATTTGGGTAAAGAAAAAACCCAGATTTACACTGTATACAATCATGTTTACTTCAGAATTTTTTTCCCCTGTGAATTTTAGATATTGATTGATATTGATAATATATAATTTTGTATTGATAACTCATTTTCCTCTTTAGAATGGATCATTGAATGTGGATACAGTATTCTTAAAAATATAGCCATATGTTACTTAGGACTTAATTTTTTTAAAGGTAGAACATTAGAGAAAGAACAGTGACCAATATTTATACTGGATTTTTAATCAATTTTAAATATTAGTGTTCTGAACTAAATTTCTGTATTTTTCTTTTTAGGGTTATCCAAGACTGGTTTTCAGAAAGGATGCAGGTGGCCAAAGTGGATTTCTCTACAGTGTTACCACGCTTCATTTCTCTATATATCTTTTCCTTTCTGAATCCAAAAGATTTATGTGCTGCTGCACAAGTCAGCTGGCCCTGGAAATTTTTAACTGAGCAGGTTTACCATTTGTCACTTCCTGGGAATAGGGCTCAGATGCAACTGTCATCTGTAATGAGGCAATAAGGGTAGCTCCTTTCCCTGAAAATAATAACTGAGGGTGTCTGAACCATAATTAATTTATCCTTAAGAGAAGAAAATAGCAAATTTTTTAAATGGGGAATTATATTTAATGGGGGAATTAAATAATTTATAAGTCAGGGGATATACACTATTCTAATAATTCATATAATTCAGATCATCTTTAAATACTCAATTTAGTTATTTAGGAAATAATTTATCTTGGTTAAGAAGTCCAATATTTTGTGAAAATTTATTTAAGATTTGGTTTTAAATGATATTGTTTTAGTCATGATAACCCACCTTAAAAATTGCTTCACAACCACAACTTTAACTGCTCCCTCTTTGGCTAACCTCTGTTGAAGAATATAAAACTAGATCTTCTACATCTGCTGCCACTAATTCTGCCTCTGGGATGTTTATCTCTTTACTTTTAAAAGACTTAATGAAATGTAATAGCCGGCATACTTTAAATACAAATCAATAATTTACTCCTTTAACTTATACAAACTTTCCAGGATGGACTTACATTGAGATTCTGATCTCACAGAATACCTGGCTCTCCATGGAGGGGCCACATGAAAAGCCAACTGTGAGCCCTGGATTTATAGCATTTGTGAATCCAGGTTTAGTGTTCCCATGGTATAGTGTTTCCTCTTTTTTTACTTTCAACCTTTCTCTGTCCTTACATTTAAGAAACATCCTTATAAACAAATTATGGTAGTGGTTTTCTTTTACCACTTGACAATCTTTGACTTTTACCTGGACTCATTTAGTCTGTTCACGTTTATGTAAATACTGATACATTTGCGCTTAAGTCCGCCATTTTACTATTTTTATTTACTATTTTATATTTTGTTTTTCTGTCTTCTTTTAGGATTAACTATTTCTTAGATTAATTTTAAATTCTTTAGCAGTTCTTTCATGGCTACCATAGAAATTACAGCACTTATCCTAGGGTTATTCACCACCTCTGAGATAATGCAAGGAGCATAGAACTCTTTAATTCCATTTGCTTCCCTGTTCAGTTTCTGTGCTTTTGTTCTCAAATATCTTAATTTTACACATACACACATATAAAACACACAAACATACATTAAAATATATATGTAAATATATACTAACAAATATAAAAATAATTTATAATATCTCTTTTGTGTTTAAAATATATGTATACCTCATGAATATTTATTACAATTGTTTAATTTAATACATAGTCAATATTTATTTACAAGTAAACTTTTTCTGTTATGCTTCATACCTTTCTGCATCTCTGATTTCCCTACGGGGTTCAGTTTTTTCTGAATTCTCTTTAATATTTCTTTTAGTACAGCTTACTACTGACAGATTCTCTTAGTTTTTGTCTGAAAATGTCTTTACTTCACCTTCAAATTTGAAGGATATTTTCACTGGGAATTTGAACTCTAGGTTGGCAATTAATTTTTTATTAGAACTTTGAAAATATTCCATTGCTCTCTGGCTTTCATAATTTCTTGAAAAGTAGGGAGTTTTATTGTTGGTCCTTGAAAGGTAATGTTTCTGTTTGCTCTAGCCTATTTTAGGATCTTTTTCTCTGCCTTTGGTTTTCTGCAAGTAAGATCCCCTGGGGGAGGAAAGGACAACCCACTCCAGTATTCTTGCCTGGGAAATCCTATGGATAGAGGAGTCTGGTGGGCCACAGTCCATGGGGTCGCAAAGAGTCAGACACGACTTAGTGATTGAGCAACATGCCCAGAGGGGTGTGTGTTTATCCTGTTTTGTATTTTGCACTGATTTATAAATTGGGGGTTTTATGTCTTTTATAAACTTTGCAAAGCTCTCAGATTCTGTCTCTTCATATATTATTTTTGCTCCAGTTTTTGTTTTTTCCTCTGGGTTTCGATTTGTTACATTGATCCACCATGTCCCATAAGGTTCATATTCTTTTATGTGTCTTTTCCATTGTTCTGGCTTTCAGTGTTTCAGTCTGGATTTTTCTTCTGGCCTAGCTTTCAGTATATTAATTATCTCTTTAGCTGGATTCTAATTTGCTCTTAAACTTGTCCCTTGAGTTCTAAATTTGTTATTATATTTTTCAGTTTTAGAGTGTTGGTCTGATTACTTTGCCAAAATTTTCCACCCAGCCATTTAGTTTCTTAAGTGTATTAACTACAAGTTTTTTAAGTTCGTGCCTGATAATTACAACTTTTGGATCTCCTGAGGGTCTCTATTTACTAAAAGACAAAAGAAGAAACAAATAATTCTTGTCTTTTTTTGTGTGCCTGCTATTTTTGGTTGAGTACCAAATATTTCATATAAAAAAATTGATGCAATAATTTGAGTCTCCAGATGATGTTATCTTCCTCCAGAGAGAACTTGCTTCTGGCATTTGGTTAGGCTAGGAATAGCTTATTTAAATCCAATCAGAGAATGAGATATTTCAAAGCTAGTTTCAACCTAATTCTTTGTCATCCTTACTGAAAAGGATCTCAGCTAAAAGCCAGGATCATTACCAAGGCTATTCTCCTTTGTGGGCTCTGAATGTTTCCTCTCTTCCCTGCAAGAATCCTTACAGTTCTTAACACCTTCTATGTTTTTCAGTCAAAATGTCCTGCTCCGCTCCTCAGCCTCAGTTTTGCTTTGGAACTGTCAGGTGTCTGGAAGTGAAAAGTGAGACTGAATCAGGATATTACTTTTCTGGGTTTCCCTCCTCTAAGGCCTTGGTTATACAAGTCTTCATTGAATTGGTACCTTAAGTAATTGTTTTACAGTATTTTGTCTAGATTTTGATTAGATGAAATCACATGAAATTTGCTGTTTTCATTGCATATTGGCAGTATCATGTGGGTCAAAGTTGTTCCCAGTGCAAAGGTTGGTGTTGAACAAATAACCATACCATCGCTAGAAGCAGAATTCTCAGAATCTGTTGCATACGCTATGGGAACATTGAATAAGTATACAAAGATGACTAGTACATATATTCATATAAAATATACATGTTCATAAAATAATATTTTCCCTATGGAGTAAGGTATGCATCTTATTTCTCAGAATCAAGTTTAGATGGCAAGTCAACTGCATTAAAAATCTCAATGTAATAAGAAAAAATTATCTATGTGCTAAAAAGATTATTACTAGGAAACGGTCCTTGCAACTCATCTTTCTCATTTCTTTTTCTGAAGGATTGTTTATGGATGCCCAAATGCATTAAGTTTGGATGGTTTCTGCCCTATACGCCAACAGATAATGAGTATGGTGCTTGGAAACACCATTACATTGCTTGTGTGTCCAACTTAGATTGGCTAACCCCTAGGGAAGCTGCTGCTGTTTATGGGACTCTGAATGAACCCAAAACAGAAGATGAAGAGCTACAGGAGAGGCAAAGAGAAAAGTGCCTAAGGAAAATAGTTTGGGAGAAAATTGCACTACAGAAGCGTGAGTGGTATTTTACAACTTTATGTCTTAGCCGAGTATTGTAGAAACCAATGGATTTACATACAAATTCCCACGGAAGAGGATAGCACCGTCTTCATGAAATAGCCTTTAGGTGGCATTCTTTAAAGTATGTCAGGGAAAGCTCTTTGTTCTTTACAATTAACTAAAAACAAAAAGATTTCCAATGAAATATGTAAGGTTAAATGCCAGTGCCTCCGTGAGACTAAAGGTAAGGTGAGAGCAGCACAAACACAGGCAAAAGCAAACACATTCAGGATAATTCAGAAGAATTAGTATTGGTGACAACATAGGGAAAATGGAAATGGAAGCAAGAAGAATGACTTTTTTTTTAAGGTGCAAAGGGAGCCGGGATGAGACATGCTCTCAGCTCAGCCCTCTGATCTGCACGGTGTGTAATTAGCAAACCTGATCTGAGTTCTCCCATCTTGCTTTCTCACTGACTCACCCTCTGTGAGACTGTAACAAATGCGAAATTTACTTGAAGCGAAGAAGAGAGGCAAAAATGATGTGAAGCCTACAAATTGATGAACTTGGTTTCTATGAGAAAAGAGTTGCTTATTCTCTGAGCTTTGTTTCTTGACCTGAAGTGACTGGTAACTTGCAGCTACAGAGCAGAGAGGATAAGAGAACCAAAGAGAGTCTGTAAAGTGGCTGTAATTACTGCCATCTGGAATACTGCCCTGGTACAGCTTCAATTTTGATGGCTTTATCTGTGTAGACTTGGCTGGGAGAAGCTTGAAGTAAACAGCCAAGCCTGCTGCTGTTTGTTTTTCAGAGGAGTTGTTCAAAGTTCGACCCCCTTGGGTGAGTGGAACATACTGCTCTAGATTGTTCAAATCCAAATGCCAGCCACGTCTCTCCCAGACTGTGAGGGATCGAGTGAGATTACATGAAACTTTGGAGAAACAGCTTGTTTTGTCATCTTTAGAATCTTTGCCCAAGCGGTAAGCAAACCTTCATCTGTTGAAGGTTCAGCACCTTCCCATGATACCAAGAACTCATTCTAGAATAATTTAGCTAACATGCAGTGATCTTGTATAATTTTTTTTTGGTCTTGTATAATTAAATCACTCTTATCCTATAAAATAGCAATAGAAATAGTTCCTTAATCTTCAATGACAGTGGTCTTGAACATGCTTTCTGAAGTAAATATGTAACATTCAAAATTTACATTTCAAATATTCTTAACTCTGCAAAGAAGCTATATTATGGATGTAGCAGTTTTTCTGTATAAAGTTATTGAGCAAAAATAACATTTTTTCCAGAATTTTTTTCCATTTATTTTTATTAGTTGGAGGCTAATTACAATATTGTAGTGGTTTCTGCCATACTAGAATTTTTTTTTTTAATGGAGTAAGTATATCCATCCTAATGGTGGTGGGGATGAGGCGACTGTAGAAATAATGGACATTGTTTGAAAAAACCATGAGGCCCAGGTGATTAGGGAAATTTAAAATATCTTGGCTGCTTCCTTTTCGAATGTTATTTTGAACCCTTTAGTATGTCAGGACATTGGTTTTAAGTGCCCTACAAAAGTAAGTCCCAAGAACACATTCTAGCATCCCATGAAGACAGGAGGAGACAGCCGGTGGGCAGTTTTGGCCCCACTCACCCAGGAGTCCCCTTTGCTGACATCTGTGAAAACCACAGGGAGACACCAAGGTCCTGAAGCTGCTTGCCTTGTACAGAGAACTGATGCCCAGAGGACACAATGGTGCTCACTTATCAAACTAGAGAAAATAAAAACTTCACTTTCCCCCGCTCTTTTCCTCATAGAAGCAACATTTCTGGATGCCATTCCTACCCTTTATTATCAAAGAAGAATTGGCGTGGAGTTTATAAAAATGACAGCAGTTCTTCAAACGCTCTCCAGCCACACTTCATATTAATATCATCTCGGATTCCTGCATATGAGGTACAGTGTGTTAGGAGGCCAGCACTTCTCTGAATTGGGTTTTTTTTTAATCTTCCCTAGAATAGACGTATGGCAATCTTTTGGTCACCATGTGTATGAAAATGATTCATCTCCTAAAAGGAAAGCTGTCTGATCTAAGTGGAAATGTACAGACCCGAACAGTTTTAAAAATCAGAAGCAATAAAAATAACCATAAATCAAAATTATTTTTTTTATATTAAAGGCCTAACTGCCTTGCTTTTAGGGGTCCAATAAATTTTTGTTGAACTCAATTTTTTGCCCCTAATCCACAAAAGAGCAAAGTTATACAAATTATTTTAAAATATCTTTGGAATGACTGAGGAATTTAATAATATCTTGTAACTAGCACTTCTAAAAAGAAAACTGTCAGAAATCTACTTTGTGATCTACTTACTGAAGGTGACTTTAAATGAAAATATGCTCTTTCTATAATGAAGTTATATATTTTAAATTTTAATGTGAATAAGAAAAAGAAGACATAGGAAGCATGTATACATGTGAGTATGCATGTATGCATGTATATGTACATACACATGCATTGATACACACATAGGCATACATAAGGGATGGCATTAGTAGAATGTATTTATTGGCTTACTTAGTTCTTGCAAAAAATTCTATTTGTAAGAAAATGGTTGCTTTCAAGGTATGAAATCACTGTTGAACATCTAGGAATTGACTTTGATCATTTACAACTGGCTAGCTTAATGGATCCGTATGAAAGCAAGATCAGAGTTTGATCTCCATGTGGGCCATAGATGGTTTCTCTAATGTTTAAAAATACCTCATGCTGGGCACAGAGGATGAGTGATGACAGAGTAAGAGTGAATAAAGTGGAATTGAATAAATCCATGATCCTGTTTGTCTTCTTTATGTAAGACTATGCCAGACTTACTCATTTGACTATGAATGTGATGGAGGTCTAGGTAAAAACCATGAAACCATGTGGTAGTTCTCTATTCAGTTGAATTGTGATCTCCAGAAAGTGGCATGAGGTTTTGGGAAAAATCAATGCCTTCAATGACTTTACAACCTGACTGCTGCTAAGGAATTAACTTTATCAAAGTGAAAAGTTTATTTGGTTGTTGAATTCAAAGAACAGTGGTTTTAGCATTTATTTACTATGAAATAAATATTTACCAATATTGATCATTCAAAAATTTATAATTAAGAGGAAAACAAAATCTATTTAAGAAGTCCATTACAAAATTACATACTTTTATTACTTTAGTGTATATGTCACTGTGCATGGGTATGTACAAAGATAAAAAACTGGAAGAAAATAATTCATTAGTGTTTCTTTGAGTGGTGGATGGTGGAGTTACAAATGCAAATTTCCCCTGTTAGAAAAAAAAACAAAATAATTTAAAAGAGAAACTAGTGGTGGGGAAAACTTATCTTCCTCCTATAATTTCGGAAGAAAAACAATAGTCTTCAAAAATCATAGATTACATAGTCACTGTTTTTAATTTACTAAAAAGTATTCTAAAGTAACAGGCTTCCCTGGTGGCTCAGATGGTAAAGAATCTGCCTATAGTACAGGAAACCTGGGTTCAGTCCCTGGGTCGGGAAGATCCCCTGGAGAAGGAAATGGCAACCCACTCCAGTATTCTTACCTGGAGAATTCCATGGACAGAGAAGCCTTGTGGGCTACAGTCCATGGAGCCTCAAAGTCGGACATGACTGAGTAACACATTCTAAAGTAACAGGCTTTGGTTCCTACTGGTCTGGTTTTGTTTTCTAGATGGTGGCGAACAGTGTTAGAGCAGGTATCATTTCTGTGGTATATGAACACAGTGGCCTAAACTTGGAGACCCTACTTTATCTCATAGAAAAAGCTCTGGATGGGCAGATGGCACAGAGTGTGGGAATATTCAGTGACGGAGATAGCAGAGAAATCAACTTACTCCAAGGTAAGACTGGGGATTGGGAAGAAAAACTTGCACTGAGGTAGTGTTTGTCCACAATTTAAGGAGGTTGCTATCCCATCTCAAAGCAATCAGGCAGGAGGAGTTCCTTCTTACTCTTTTCTTTCTTTACTGGGGCTCAGGAAGGCAGTCTCCAGGACTCCTTTAGAAATCGGTGCAGACACAGGCAGACTGGCTGAATCATCACATTCAATTCCCAGGAGGTGAAAGGTACAGTGAAGTTTCCCATGCCTGGGAGCCTTACTTCTGCTCTTGAGGACATAGTGATTGATTGGCAATCATGGGAAACATTTCCACTTTGGAACTTGGTTTCAAAGTCCCAGGACTTGACTGGCCATTGACCAACCATGCCGTGAGCCTGGTAATTAACACTGCTGCCCCAGGGAAGTGGAGACACGATGTCCTTAACCTAAGCACTCCGTGTCTAATAAATCCAGGACAGGAGGAGAGTGTTGTCTTGTTGGAGTCCAGTGGCTCCTTCTATGGTCCTAACATGGGGCCATCACTGAAGCAGAGATGCCCTGCAGATCTTGGCCTTACAAGCAGATGTTGGCTTTTTGAACCTCTATATTTTCACAACACAAACTGCTGTTAGCTTCTGCTAAAGTAATGTGACATTTTGATTTCCTCTCCCTCAGGCTATAAAATTGGTATTAAAAATTTATTGATGCCTGAAGTGAGAGACTTCTGGGAAAAATTAGGAAGCTATGTGGCCCCTGAAGAAGAAGGGGGTCACGTGGACCTCTTTGTACCACTTGGAGCATCAGGTCAGTTTTGAGAGGTAGTGGTCATACCTACTTTGTGATGATTTATAAAATGTCCTCAATTCAAATAACTAAGTTACATTTATTTTTTATTTTTTTTCCTTATACTTCACATACTCAGATATTTAGGGGGAAAGGACATCAAGGTTAGTGGTCAGAGTAACCTGTCCCTAAAGAAATAGTCATTAGTGGTAAGAGCCAACCAGAAAAATTATTTGTTTCTTCTGGAAAACACAGTAAAATCAGCCTCCACAGTGCAGGTGAAAATGCCAGACCAGCACTGGGACCATGAGCAGCCTGTATGAGGAACCTTCCCTGTTGGGTTCAGAATCTGGAAGAAGTGGGCATGAACTTGGTGACCAGGGACCTGGACTTCAATTCCACTCATGTGACTTGAGCTGTGTGGTCTTAGGCTAGTTTGTGGACCTCTGTTTCCTCATATGAAAGTTAGGATAATAATATCTTACCTTATTGGACCTGTGAATATCAAAATACATATAAAATACTCAAATGTTGAAGTATCAAAAAATGGTGAAGTGCCTTGTAAAGATGAGTGTGGTAACTTATCATTTTAAGTGCCTGTCTAGTATCAGCCATATTTAACATAAAAGCTCTGCTTTCTTGAATTCATGGGCTATGTTTTTTGTTTATTTCTTTGTTGTTGTTTTTTAGCTAAGCAGAACATGGGAAAGGAAGTGTGGAATTAAAGTTTCTCAAACTGTTTCTTGCTACCCACTCCTTAGGGAACTTAAATTTAGTTCTTAATCCTTAGATTTCATTGGACTATTCAAAGCAGGACTCTGGTAGGATTCCTCTAGGCAAAGGAAGTATAGCAAACAGTTTAAGAGAAAATGAAGTACAAATTATTGTAAAAAGATAGTTTTTACAATTACTACAAATATATAATCTCAATTATGTAGAAAATAGGGATAGACAACTCTAGGAGGAAATATAGCTCACTATTAACTGTCTATCTCTAGATCTGTTATTTCAAATTTTCTTTTAAAATCAGTTTGAAAAGGGTAAGTTACAAAGAATGTGGAAGGTGTGACCCCAATGTTTAAAATCTGTGTATGTGACAGGGAGGGTGGTGGTGGGGTGTGTGTATAAGAAGGGTTTGGAAGCATATATATCATCATGCTGACAATAGTTGGATAATATTAGTGAGTTTTCCTTTCTTTTATATTTTCCTTTTTCTTTGATCTTTTTTTGGTCTCTATTTTCTGTAGTGAACTAGTATTACTTTTAAAATGAGAGCAAAACAAAATTTTTAATGGGAGTGGAGGGGGGAAAGGATGTTAAAAAGTATCGTATTGAAAGGCCAAGAGAATATGGGCAAAAGGGAAAAAGAACAGTAGATTTAGTGACACAAAAATGGTCTCAAGTGAAACTTAATGGTACTCAAACAACAGATTTCCCATGGCCATTCTGGGCCCCCAGGTCATCCCTGAACGTCTCATCAAATATAATTTCTCCTAGGTGAACCATCGAGACCCTGGTTCAGTCAGAAGGCCCTGGCTTCTCAGTCAAAAATCTTCCACCACCTTAGGAATCACTCTGGAGCCTGTCAGTCCTATAGCTATACCACCTCTGAAATCTTGATCTTAAGCATTTGTCTCTGAGTACCACTTCCAAATCGTGTCCTCAAATATTCCCACTCTATTGGTTCTTTGCCTGAGGATCTCCAATCCACATACTCCCACTTACTCACTCTCCATCACCATGCCTTCAAACTTGGTTCCTTCCTCATTAAACCCAGATTTACTGGTTTGTCATTATCATCTCTCTTGCAAAGAACCTTAACTTCTTTTCTGCTGGCCAAACCCCAGTTTATTTGGCTAAATCCCAATGCCGGCTGGAGAAGAAAATTGCAACCCACTCCAGTGCTCTTGCCTGGAAAATCCCATGGACAGAGGGGCCTGGTAGGCTGCAGTCCGTGGCGTTGCAAAGAGTCGGACATGACTGAGTAACACATTCTAAAGTA